GGGCCCAGGAAGGGGGGGGGGGGGGTGGATATCAGTATTTCAAGACAACACTTGGAGTGCAAAAGTTCATGCTGTGTGTGCGGTTTTTTTTCTCCCCCACCGTACCACAAAAACGGGAACAGTAAAAAAAACAAGGAAGTGAAGATCTAGGGTACAGCAACTCGAGAGAGTACCATCAGCAAAACAAAAGAAAGAAACGAGCAGAAAGGGCAAAAAAAAAAAAAAAAAAGAGTCAGAGATAGAAACGCATCTCTCAGCCTTCTCATGATCAGCAGCCTACTGGTTATGGACAACAACGTCCAACAATCTCGCAAGCAAGAAAGAGAGACACGGCCAAGTCACCCATTAAGCGCAAACACAAGTACACCAGCGCCACGCCGTGACGTTAACCAGCCGACCACCCCCTCGGGTCCACACCTCAATCGCGCCAGCCTTCTTTTCTTCCCTTCCTCCCGCCTCCCAGTAGTCTACCGTACTCGAGTCTCGAGTAGCCCTACCGGTATCATGCGAGCGCCAGTATTCGTGCAAGTAGCCTAACAAACCGCCTCGCTCACTCACTGCTCACCAGGGTCCGCAGCTTGTAATGTACTATACCCATCCCGGACAAACCACCATCATCGATCTGGAGGGTCTCATCGTTCCTTCGCCCGTGAACAAGGAAGGAGCAGATCCAGGCGGTTCGGCGTGCACGCCTACAAGTGCAGTACTGTACAGCCGGCTAGGGAATGGGCGTACAAACTTATGCGTTTTACAAACCCCAACTGCCATACAACAAATGTTGCGTCTTTCTTAGTATATTCGGTGGTGTTTGCTATGAGAGAGCACAGTATGATACCGGTACGCGCAGTGTGACAATGACCCCCTCCAGATACCAATCCGATCCAGTCCATATACAGTACTATATATATAATTTAGATACCTACATACATACATACAGTACATACATACATACTCGAGTACGCGATGCACAAGTCAATTCCTCGGTGGCGTTGAATCTTGCCTGGTCTGCCACGTTGGTGGATCTTTCCTCCCCTCTCTCGTTCCCCCACCTACGGCACTCGACTATGTTACTCGAGTAACTCGTACAGTCGCACCCACTCCACGCAGAGGAAACTCATGCAATCGGAACGGGGCAAAGGCAGACGACCGACTACTTCACGGCAGTATTGTACTGTACCTACCGCAGCCCTCTCTCGAGTCATGTGTCCTGGCAGTCCGGACATGTACCAGCTGGCACAGGCAATTGCTTTTCGAGTCATTCACCACGCGGACCTCGCTCCTACAGTATGGTAGCAAGTGTTGCTTTCAACAGCTTACCACATACGATCATAGCTTACGTCTTCCCAAGCTACTCGTACACCTCAGTTCCGAGTAGAAACTTCCTCCCTACCAGTAACTGCTACTGGTATCTGAGGTAAAAAAGGCTTGAAAGTTGCCATAAAAATATATCAAGCCCTTAATCACTCTAATCAACTACCGGTAGCCAACCAGTCAACCAAACTCGAGATACTGTATGTACTAGTACAGTATCCTGAGCGGAGTCTCGGCAGCAATACGCAATAGTCTACTCGAGTAACTGGCAAGGCAACACAGAACACTCCCTCCCTCCATCCCCCCACAGCCTACCCACCTAGACTACAGCACTCACCCTACCAATTCTATTCCACACCAGAGGAAAGTGCACAAAGCCATCGGTACCCCCAAGGGCCTTCCTCTTCATTACCTCATCACACCATATATGATACCACAAAAATGAAAAAAAAAAGTCCAAAACCACCCGTGAACCCTATCGTACTGTACCGGTACGAGCACTGCACCCTACCCATAATATACATGATCAAGCCTCCTATAATTCCCCCTCCTATCTAGGGTTTTGCCCCCAAGAAAATACTGCAGAGTGACAAGCGGAGCGCAACACCACACCGGAGGTTCAGGTTGGGGGGATATGACTCTATCGGCAGAGCCTCAGGGTTTCCACGATGCTATCGGAACTGTCAGATCAAGGTTGAGGATACGGACCCCACCCACTTGCCCGCTTGCTTGTGAGAGAAGTAGACTACAGTACGGCACCGGTGCCGTACTAGTGGCGGGACCAATTCCGCTCCGTTTCGTTTCCCTTCGTGGCTAGGAACTCCCGTAGCCCATGCCTCTCCTTCCTTCCATTCCACCCGCCAACACACCGCTGCCGTATCGCGATGAGAAATAAATTTGCCATCCTCGCCATCCAGCACGCGAATGAGCTACCGTGGCGCTGGGAGACAACGAATTACACCCATCCATCGTATCATGCCGGCATCTCGCCGGCCGGCCACGCGCAAGCAAACTGATTGGTATGATACGGCACATGAGGAAGAGATGATCCGATTTCCTACAATATAAAGATCAAGATGAGCTGCCGCAGCTTTTCTCAGAGCAGGGTCTGGATTAGTTTCGTTTAGAACTTGGGGGTTCCGGGTAGGCGTTCTAGGCGCTAATGGAGCTCGCCACAATTCGATTCGTTACTGTTGTAAGTTGGATTGCCAATTGAATCCGGGAAACTAGGGGGACTCGATGATCCTCGATTTGGGGTCCTGTCGGGTTGATGAAGGGATGGAATCAGCCGGGAGCCTCCGATGCGGCTCTTGCTACAAGTCGGTACTCCAATACCCGAGCCAAGAATTGGCACCCAACAACCATTCTAAAAAGGTTTCCAAATCCTTGGCGGAGGGACGAGTATGATATGATACGATACCGGTATTGCACAGTACCTATATGACACTATCGGTACCGGTAGGTTTTCGGGGGCCTTAGGATTACTACTATACCCTGAGTAGGGTGATGATATTGTCCGGGGACAAAATTAACTAGCTGTCAACGGCCGGAAAATCTTCGGTGATGACAACCACACTCCCCCACCAACCCACTATCATGAAAACCCAAAAGAAAATTAAAAAATATAAATACATAGTAGAAATTAATATTTAGTATACCATCCATCAGCCTTAATAATTGCTTCCATCCTATCCACCATTGATCCTGCCAAAGTATCAAAAACCTTTGGGTCCAGAAGTTCCCAACAATGAGTGATAGCCTCCTCTATAATTTTTTTGATCTCATTGACAGGGCCCTTCAGGAGAAACAGCTCAGGATAGTGCTTATGAAGCTTGTCCTTCACCAGAGACCAAACATTTTCAATTGGATTGAGATCTGGTGAATAGGGAGGAATTTCCATCAGAGAAATTCCATTTCTCCTGAGCCATCTCCTGAAAGGCAAGTGAGTCTTAGCATTGTCAATGATCAAAAATACCTCTTCCTC